AGGGGAGGACATCCATCACACAGTAATCTTGTGCGTGGGAATTAATGTCTCCTACCCCAACCCTGCAGGAGACGGGACCTCCATTTATTCGTCCCTATCCGAGAAGACTAGAATGTCGAACCATTTCTTGATGTTATACTGAAAGGTAGCAAATTCTACTCAATTATTTTAAGACCTTGAGTGTTAGTCCGGCCGGGACTCGAACCTCGAACCTCCCGCACAACAGTCCAGCGCACTATCCTTTGGGCTAACTGCCTCTCACAACGCGTGCGTAGTCGACTTTTTGTCACGTACCCTTAACCAAGAACGCGTACGCAGTCGACTTTTTTCTGTGCCTTTCACGTGCCTAATAGAACCGGACTATAGATAGGTGCATACCGAAGTATTTCCAAAACTGGCCAGCATTGCGACTCCACCATTCGAACGGCTTCAATACTGAATTGATTTCTCCAGGCGTCTATCAAGAGGGACGCATTATTCCTTCGTGTTCCATACGCGTGATCGGCGCTACGGTCACGTGATTTTCTACCATTGGTTAAATAGTTTATGACTTGACCCGACATTGGAATGCCGGTAAAATCAAACAGTCCTTGAGAAAAATTTAATGGTAATTTTACCAGATCCTCGTATCTGATAAGTCTGTAACGATCTGGAAATTTACTCTCGGCCACCAGAGCCAATCGCAGCGCTCTTATCGAATTAGAACAGAACTTTTGTACGAGGGTGGTAAAATGAGAGAAGTTTGTCGTAGCTGTATTCACCGTTGAGGTTTCCAAACTCCAGCCGACACGGTCCATAGAAGCGATAACAGCTCTTGGATCTCGCATTAAATGAATGATTTTCAAGTTATCTCGATCGCGAACTAATAGACGTTGAAGGCGGTCAACGTCCACAAATGGCAATCGATGGGCGAGAACCTTCACAACCGTGTGACTGTGAAGAGAACAGGACAGAGAAGTTATGAGAGGATCCAAGTCTTTGCAAGAGATGACAGTTCGGTTATCTTTCGCGTTGGTTATGTTTTTACAATAGGGCGAGGTAAAGGCGTGGCTTGAAAAGCGATTAAGCCGCATGTGTGACATGAAGGATAAAAACTCTGTTTGCTGCTTAAATCTGCAATTGAAAATGTCGCGTAGGAGACCCAGTGCTGTCTGCTCGTAAAGTGAAGAGTTCCTAACCGATGTCATTTGAAATGTTATCAAGGGTTCATAAATGTAAAAGACTTCCGGGTGATGATTGAAAATTTGCCCAAGATACGATGATCCTGACCTTGCATTCGAAATAATCAAAATGTTCGTCTTTCTCTTTCCTGTTTCTTTTGAAGGGTGAAATGCAACAAGGCCAGAATACTTACAAAGGGCCCTTATCGCAATGCATGCCGTGATACCTAAGGTTATAAGGCCCAAAATTGCAGGGACTCTTCGAGGTTTTGCCATGCAAAGCGAGTGTCCAGGATGATCCAGAACCAGTCCGTCAAATGCCTCTCTAAATAGCAAAGAAAAAGGTAGACAGTGTGAATAAGAAAATGACGATTTAAGTCTAGATCCATCGTAGCGCTATTTCCAACTGAATTTCCTAAGTAGTCAATTTCCAGCTTAGTTTCTCTATCTTTTTGCCACCGTTTTCTAAACCAATCACAGAGCGAATTAAAGCTAAACCAAAACAATCCACGATCACTTTCAAAACTCAATTGAAAACTTCTCTAACGACCTCGATAGACCCTTCCCTTCGTAAACAAACAAGCGCACCAACGAACAAAATTAATAAACAAACCACTGAAACGAACTGAAATTAAGATCTCCGAATAGTGGTACCACCCCTAAGGAAACCACCCTGTAAATTATTACAAGAAACAGCAACCAGACGATCTATGAATGTCTGCTTAATTTAGGCCTCTTCAAACGCGCTTGAGATGACAGCCCCCCTGGTTAGATGTCCTGAAAGATTTACGGTAAAAAAAAGCAACTACGTCATATAGACGATATAGACTACACCAGATGATGGGAGCTAAAAGTCGCATCTTTAGGAAACGCTTTCCGTGTTTATTACCTAGATATATTAAAATTTGTTAAGTCATGATGCAAAACTAAACCACCTGCCCTAGAAAAAAACATCTGTTATAGAAGCAGTGCAATACTTCAAAGAAACATACGTCTCCAAGCTGAATCCTGACGGTAACCTAGCTTACTTGGACCGACTCCTGGGACCAGGAGACTGAGAAATATCTTCTGCTTGAATCTCAGCAAATAAGCCTTTATGTAAATGTTTCAGATTCTTAGAGGATGAGACAAATTGGCGTTGACTACATCAATGTTTTTGTTTCTGACATCCTCTTCCATTCCCTCCCTCTTTCAAATATGGCAAACGACAACTTTAATTTCAAGCTCTGCAGGCTATGTGCTGAGCTTAGCGAGCTGCAATGCATTTGACAATATCTTCCAAGCTATTTAAGGTACCTTTTAAATTTATTTACTCTAATAGTTTACTCGGTGAATACAAATGCTAAAATATTTTGAAGAGGAAATGAGACACTGTAAAGGCGATAACTTAGATTTTTGCTCAATAAATGATTTCCAGGCTACTTACAGTTTTCACGAGCTTCCTTGGCAACGGTAACGTAGCTTAATTCGTGGGGAGCGACCCGTTTCAATTGAATGATTTCCCTGCAATTGCTAACATTACTAAAACTGCGCCCGGCTCCTTGACCTGTGTGGTTTTTGTGAACACGAGCGGGTGGCTCGCCACCTGTTCTAGGATCTCGAAAAGTGATTTTCAACTGGTATTCACTCTTCGCTAAAATTATTACCACTTACGTGATCGATCTCCTACAGAGCTGGAAACCACAGGTGGCCCAGCTTCTTCGTCTTTCTCTTCCTTTCTTGAACGTGAATCATGCTTGTAAGAATTGGGGGGGGGGGGCAGGGGGAACTCGTGCTCCCCCCACCCTACACACACAAACACTTTTTGAGTAAAAGGGAAGAAATAACAAAAGCGTTGGCACCAACGTGAGTGGTTGCGATTTGTTAAATAAAACACAACAGTTTTTAATTGTTTGTTTGTGTGAGTGTGTTTTTTTGATTTAAAAAAAAAAAAAAACTGGTATTATATCGCCCGAAAGTGACAAAAAAACCCTCTCTCTCGAAATGGGTTCCAAATACTTTCAAACGCGTTTTCATTTCAGCAATGTCGAAAAAAGAATACGTTGGGGCCTGTCAGTTAGGAAGCCAGCGCGATTTAGCCTTGGCGTACCTTAGTGGAATCATCGTAAGTTACGTGACGCCCTTCTTCAACAAGAGAGCTAACGAAAACAACAAACGTTCGAACACGTGCATAAAATTTATGCCAAATCAAGGAAAGGTTTTGATATTTCGTCGTATTTCCGACCAGAATATATAAAAGTGTCTCTTTAATCAGGAGCTGTATGATAAAGTTCTTCCTCCCATTCAGAAGCCAGTAGGGTATCGAGCAAAGGTGCGCCTAAAACATGAACACCTCGTGGCTTCGTCTCTGTCGGGAGTAATTTTCTTCGTCCCCAAGGTACAACTGTTCAAATTCTTCACGAAAATCTTTCAGAGAAGGTTGCTCCTCGCAGCTTGGTATGTTTAACAGTGAGTCGAAGAGCCTTCCCCAAATTGGATTCCAATATCTAGGATATTTTTCGGAGAGAAAAATGATTAAAATAAACCAACAACAATGTTGCAAGACGTAAGGAAACGAATAATTCTCAAATGATAGGTTAAAAGACGGGAAAAATGATATTAGAGAGGGTGAGAGAATGAACCGGAGAGCTGTGGCGTTCCTATTACCGCCTCCATCATAGCATTTTTAGCACATTTATAAAAATTTTGCGAACGGTTGGGTTACTCCCACTTTGGAATTTAAGTGGTTAAATTAATTTAATTCAATTTAATTTTTTTTTTAGGGTAGAGACTGAAATTTCATTCTGCTGGGACATTTGAGTAAAAGAGAGTAATCACGTGGTTTAGACTTTGACAAGGAGAGACTATGAGAGATTAAATAAGAGTGAGAATACCTTTTGAATGGTTTTGAGGTCTTCCACCTTCCTATTTTGTCTTGGCTTACTTTCATGTAATCAAGAAATAAGAGACAGTGTATTGTGCCCAAAAGCCCATACATATCAACCTGAAAACCAAAGAATCACCAGCGTTAGTAAAGAATGACAATAGGACGGAAGGCTGTGCGGCGCAATTTTACTTTACAAAATAATCATTACTTTACTCTGGAAAGAGCCTTCAGAGTTGAAGACACACAGTGCCGTTATCTAGGAGTGACGACTTAATGAAATGTAATTGCGAAAATGAGACTTTACTCTTAATAGCGGAGCTCGCAGCGCGCATAACGCGCGAAGCGAAACACCAATATTAGCTTTTACCGGGCTTAAGTATTAGAACAGTTTTCACTTGAGTGTCGAAAGAAATCCGTGATTGCTCTGGTTTTGCTTAACCTCACTGTGATTTGTCCAGAAACTCGCGCCACCTCCTCAACCAATCACATTCAAAACTGAATCTAATCACGATTCAGTCACTCGCGTTTTCCCGCGCTTCAAGCCGTTTGCTTGTTTTTACTTTGAGTTCTCATTGGCAACTGATGTTGTCAACTTAACTCTGATTGGCTGTTATGATTACTTTCCCGCGCTTCAAGTCGTTTTCTTGTTTTTACTTTGAGTTCTCATTGGCAACTGATGATGTCAACTTAACTCTGATTGGCTGTTGTGATTACTTTCCCGCGCTTCAAGCCGTTTGATTGTTTTTTTATTTTTTTTATTTTGAGTTCTCATTGGCAACTGATGATGTCAACTTAACTCTGATTGGCTGTTGTGACTACTTTCGTTTTGGTTTTTTTATTTTTTTTATTTTAAGTTCTCATTGGCAACTGATGATGTCAACTTAACTCTGATTGGCTGTTGTGACTACTTTCGTTTTGGTTTTTTTTAAAACCCAAATGGAAACTGCTCGAGCTCGAGCAAAGCTAAGCTGGTGATTATATGCATTGTATTTTTTCTAGCTACACTAACTTGATGGAATCTTTGTTGGAAGGGATTATGAATTCTTCCACGGTATTTTCATTACCTGAGTAGTCCAAGGTCTACCCTCTTTCATTTCTATGCACTGGAAATCTTCTGTGTAACAGTTGGCAGTAAAAGTGGTTCCAGCTGGAAAATGATTCATATCCACACTACGTCCGAAGTCGATCAGTTTCAGACATGCGCAGTCCAGTGTGTCTTCACTGAAAAAAAAAATTGAATGAAATAAAGATGGTGTGTTAAAAAATTTTTTTTTGGGACACATGCATAGCCCTATAGCAGGGTGTCAAGTGACAAATGACACTTAGAAAATAGGAATGACAGTGGCCAAATTATAGGAAATAAATAGTAATTCTCACCCCAAAATAGGAAAAAAAATAGGAGGATTTCTTTGTGTTCTATCCTCTTAACACTCGCAACAGCAACTAGGTTCCACAACCCAACGCTTTAATATTTAACAGGCACCATGGCATACATCCACAATGCATGCAAATGAACCTCTCAGAATCCCTTGCATGCTATCAAAAGCACCGAGAAACTTTGGGCACGAGTTTCAGAAGAAAATCACTCCTAAAGGCTTCAAACTGGTCTTTCTTTGACATGAAGTTTAATTTTTTTTGTAAAATTTATCAATTTCATTGGCAATTTTACTACAAATATTTAAAAATGTTTCCGAGTACCTAGTAAAACCCTAAAAAAAATAGGAAAAAATAGGAACTTGACACCCTGCTATAGTGAGCTATTTGGCTAAGTCAGTCAAACACAAAAACAAACTAAATTAAATTGACTACCTATCCAAGACAAGGAAATTGTCTGGCTTTACGTCTCCGTGAATGATGCAACAAGCGTGCAAGGTCTCTAAAATTCGCAAAAGAGCAATGGTGTAATAGAACAGTACGCCTTCCTCCAAAGTCTTCTTCTTCATCTTGTATTTGTTTACCATATCCTGAGAAGAAAGAAACAAAACTCGTCAATGAACCCTTGACAACCTAAAATCAGTATTCATATTCTCCATACTGTTCATGGCCTGTTCATGGCCTTTTCATCTCCAAATGTCGCGGAGTTCCGGGAGTTTGAACTGTAGAAACTGGAAACTAGCTAGAGGCCTGGCTGTAAGCTGGAGGCCTGGCCACCTAGACACTCAGTACAGAGGACAATTTTAATTTTAACTTTGTAGTGGAATTGTAAACTTAGAGTTTAAACGTAAATGTGACTGCATCCTCGGCGACACCAATGGTGGTGACGAGGTTAATTTGTTAAAAAACAAGAGCTTCTTTAGTTGGTGACCATTTCCTTACTTAATGTAACCTTAATGTGTGATTTAAGGGAGATACTGCTGAGAGAAATTCCATGCTGCTCACTCTTAGAGGGTTGAGGGTTAAGCTGGACGAAGGAAATTTAAAACAGGTCTCCAACTTCGGAGAAATATTAGGGACTGGAACCAAAAAGATCTCAATTGGCTGCTAATGAATTTAAGCGGGAAGTACTTTTAAGACCATCAGATCTGGTTTACGGTCTTGGTATGCCATAACTTTAGGGTCAATTTTAGCAAGAATCTTTTGTGCTTAAGAAAAATATTCTGATTTATCTAAGTTCGCAAAAAGACCTACCAGAATGGTACCAAGCGGGTTGTATTTATCTACCAACACTGATGAATTAGAATACACAAATGCCGCCACTGGGTCCATAAACATCGCCTGCTGAAGAAAATAAATTGAACAAGTGATGCTATTGTCGTTTTACCCCGAAATTGGGCTTTCAACCAAGACTAGACAACTTTTTTCAAGCACTAATTTTAACTCTAATCGTTTAAGATCTCGGGGGGGACTTGCATGGCAAGAAATCTAACCTTTCAATTTTTTTTTTTTTTAACGAAGGTCACTTGACCGACGTTCAAGGCGTCGACTGCTCGTAACTAACGTTCTCAATATCGTTTAAGGCTAGGTTTCGGAAGAAAGTTTTTTGAGATTGAAGAGCCGTAAGCTTACCAGCTCTCTAGAGCATCCATGCTGCCTCATTCTCTTTTGAAGCTGTTTGCTTACGTAAAATTCCCATTCAATCGATATTTCCTGTACCTGTAGGATATACCAAAAATAAAGGAGGGTTTCATAAGCTGAACTAATAAAAAGGGTTCTAAACCTAAAGCAATAAACAAACTGCGCCTAGCAAGCGAATAATGCTTCGGGATTATGAAGAGTTAAGAGGTAAAAATACAATCATACGCTGATCTAAATTTATGGCAATGGGAGTTGAGTGCATGTTCAGCATAGAAAAACATATAACAGACGCCCGGCCTGAGGTCATGCGCGGTAGGGGACACGCAACAGAGCTGTTTGATTGGTCTAGAAAACTCGCGCCCACCACTCTCAACCAATCACGTGCAAAACTAGAGCAGATAACGACTTGGTCATTCTCAGTTTTACCGCACACAAGCGCGGATCTCTTGGGAGTTCTCATCGGCTCCTTGAGAAATTTTATTTCATTCAGATTGTTCGTGGAGATGACTTTGCTTTAGGTTTACAGAAGCTTAGGTTAGAAAGACGACGATTAAAGCAACGCCCAATGTATTAAGCTTTATGCGAGGAACAAAATCCTATGGGCTTTAAGCGTAAATTTTACATGGGAAAACAAGAGAGCAATTTACGACTAAAACCAAATTAGTAATTACAGCAAGAAATCAGAGGAAAGGAAAATACTCGGAAGAGCCAATGAGTACTCAAAGCAAAAACAGGCCACATGCCAAAAGCGCGGGAAAACGCGGGCGACCAAGTTGTGGCTGGTTTCAGTTTTGCATTTGATTGGTTGAGAGAGTGGTGCGAGTTTTCTGGACCAATCACAGAAGTAAAGCAAAACCAATGCAATCCCAGATTTCTTTCGAAACTCAATTTGAAAATTGCTCTAAGTTTAATGCCATACGCGGGACCACATTACAAAAATGCGCGTTGGCGTACTATCAAGAAGGAACTTCTATCAAAAATGATATTCTGATCAACCTGGAAAAGGGACAGTACCTTCAACACCACGGCACTTTCGTCGTCAGTTTCAAAGTCGTCATCATCAGTGTCACCGCATTTTTTCGCTAAGAAAACTTTGGCAAAAGCTCCAGAACCTATCAACTTTTCAACTTTGAATATTTCATTGTCACCTGCAAACATAAAGAGAGGTATATCGGAACGTTCGAATGTCACGATGCGCACATAGAGCACTTCTCGATTGAGCGCCGTAAAACCAAAATAAATGCAATCAATGAGACCTCGAAGTAACAACAAGCAAACTGCTTCAACGCGAGCAACCAGGTTGCGATTGGTTTTAGTTTTGAATCTAGTTTTGAGAAAGTGGCGCCAGTTTTCTAGACCAATCACAGAATAAAATAAAGCAAAATCAAAGCAATCCCGGTTTACTTTCGACATTCAGTTGAAAATTGCTCTATTGCAAAATAAGAACATACTGCGAGGTATCACCAAGTTGAAGAAAGAATTTGAAGAAGCTTCAGTCTCTAATTCACAGAATGAACCAACATAACATTTTGGTTTCTTTGAAAAGGGGTTTCATTTGAGCAGCATTGTTCGTTACAGTTTCAATGCCAAAATCCTCCTTTTTGGGTTAACATGTTCTTTAAAATTTAAAGGAGTACTTATTTTTGGCATTTTTCCATGCAAAAGAAAATGTACAGCTCACCTAGGCACATCGATGCATTTGATACAATTCTTGGCACCTCTTTGCTTGACACCGTAAATCCTTCATAACTCGATAACGGAGGATTAATTTGGCGGAGTAAATTGTCAACAACAGCACCAGCGAAAGGATTGATTGCAGCATTACCAACATTGACGGCGGCCTGTGGCTCACCATCAGCCTGACAGAGACTTGCTTCCTCTTGTATCTTGCTCAGATCTAACCCATTGTGCTGCGATGCTCCCGCTGAACACGAGAATCGCCTGGATGAACCATTAGACGAATGACTTGAATTTGTCGATTTGGCATCCTCCTGGCTAGCTTCAAAGATTGGGCTCAAAACTTTGCTGGGTGTGGACATAAAGCTGTTACCTGCTTGGACAGTGTTTGGATGTGTGGATGGGTATTGGTTTCCGTAAGAGTCCATGTCATTCAACTCTGGATTTTCATTGGCTGGGCGAATAGTGCTCCAAGGAATGCTGGGAAGTGACAAGGGGCCATTTGCGTAACAGAATGGAGTCGAGGCCATGTGTGCCGCAGCAGCAAAGCTCGTAGATGAAAGGGTCTGGTCTTGTGTGAAATCGGCTGAGAAAACCTCGCTAGTTTTATCCAGTTGTTGCAAAGGTTGGTACTTCTTGAAGTTTGCATTCTCAAATTTGTCATTCATTTCAGCTTCTTCTTCGTCGTCCTCTTCTGAGCAGATTGGAATACCCAGGGATGGCTGAAGAAAACCAGCCAAGGGTCGACGACATGCTTCTTGCTGGGTGCCTCTTGGTGGCCTGTCCAGCACACAGAACAAAAGTAAATGCCAGTGACAAACTATGTTAGAAGTAAATTACCAACACATACAATAAGGAAAAAAGAAGGTAACACTTTTTGGTCAATATCAATGCAAAGCCTCACAAACATAGAAACAAAGCCATGCATTGGCACATAGGTCAATTTCTGTGTTCTAAAAACACTTTAATTCTGGCTGGACCCTCCCAATCCAGTATTTGTGACGAACATCTCCCTGTAAAAATCTGTTGGCCGATAGTCGACACACCTGTTGGCCAGTTGGCTGCCGACAGACGGTAATCTGTCAGTAATAATATTATCGTAATACCTTATTTGTTGTCCAAACTACGGCGGACCCAAACGCTACATTGGATGGGAGGTGTTTTCTCTGAAGTTCCAGTCAAATTTAGCGCATCAGTTTACAACAATTTATCACTTATAGAGCGCTATTTACAATGACAGATCAACAGCGCTTTACAATCAATCCAAACCCGCCTATCCCACCCCAGGGGAGGACATCCATCACACAGTAATCTCGTGCGTGGGAAATTAACGTCTCCTACCCCTAACCCTGTAGGAGACGGGACCTCCATTTATTCGTCCCTATCCGAGAAGACTAGAATATCTAACCATTTCTTGATGTTATAGAAAGGTAGCATATTCTTCTCAACTATTTTAAGACCTCGAGTGTCGGTCCGGCCAGTTCTTAAGAGAGTTGCCAAAACATAGGTAAACGCGTCCTCGATTGAAAAATCGCAGCCAAATGCTGCCGTTAAATTGTGGTATCACCTCATTTTAAATTCGATTCAAAGAATGCAAAATAAGTTCAACATTAAAAGCATACGAGGGAGTATAACAACCGTTATCAAGATAACTACAACTACTGACAGAAGCTCAGATGAAAAAAAGGCAGTGAATACCTTCTTGGGATACAAAATATTCAACACTTACATGTTCTCTTTGTCTTCTGATTCCTTTTCTGTGTCTTCTGTGTCTCCATTTCTTTTATCAGCCACAGTCTCATCGTAAATTACGAAACCAGAAGCACCTGTGAATCCACCTTTATTGAAAAGAGTTAAAAAGAAACTTGTCTGTGTGACTTTGGGGTTCTTGGAGGGCTTTTGTTTACGTTTCATAATTTGCAAGAGGTACTATAGTTCTCTGACGACTGTGAACAATTTGTGCATCTTCTGTTGCGGCCAAAATGCTCCGTTTCGCAATAGATGATCATGGAGAAGCCAAGTGCTTTTTTCTCTCCGGGGAAACATTTCTTGAATTTTCCCAGAAAAACCTTAAAAGGAAACGTTGTATCCCATATTTGCTTTAGACTACGAGCAGCAGCAAATTCAATGAAAATTGATCGACTAGCGCGCTGTGCGGAACTCTGGAACGTCAATTTTATTGCAGTGATTTTTTAACTCGCGTGAAGGACTTCGCCGAAAAACAGGGGCTGCTCGTAGTCCTGTTTGATTCTCCTGCCGTTGATTTTCAAATAAACATTCCCAAGGGCGTAGATTCAGTCACAAGGACCTCATTACATTTTCCTCACAGGTTCATTTGGGGACTATAACGCCTGTATGTAATTCTACTTGTAATTGTTATAAATCACATGCTTAAGTTTCTTGATAAAGTTGAGAATTTGAGCGTTAGCCATTCATCACAAAAGTACACCATTGGAGCTAGCACTACCCTTCCTCAAACTTAACGCTTGGTGGAGCCTGTTTCTCAAGAGATCCAGTTTCGTAACGGGCGCAAAAAAAGATTTTTGTTTGCCATATTTCAAACAAGATCGAGTCTTTTACAGACTTAAAATTCAAACAATCAAGATAACACGAAAAGAAACAGAATGGAACGGTGTTTGAGTGAAGACTTGTGATATTATTCCGCAGTAATAGATCTAGAATTGGGCCCGCAAAGTTACAGTGGCTTTAAAGAAACGGGCTCCGGACCTGTATGTAGATTGTGAAAGCCTTTGCCTACCCATTCCCCCAAGACCTTTTGAAAATGCCACAGTGGTAGTGGTATCATCACCAGTAAATGCTGCTTCAAACTCTTTTTCTGTTTTATCCATCTCCTGGCGCGGCCCCAAGGTTAAGTCACGTTCCGAATCAAGCGGGCCACAAAACATATCTCCCACAACCATCAACGCTTGTTTAGTGAATACTGTCGGCGAAGGGCCGGCCAGACTGGAACTGTTGAAGCTAATGGACCCGTTTACATCCGGAGTGACTGGGTGGAAAGCTGACTTTTGGAACTTAGACTGTGAATCACTCGCCAGGGTGGAGTGGGGAGGCTTTGAAGAGGTATGCTCATTGTTGGTTGAATTCTGCACGGAAGGAAGAGAAGCACTTGACTGATACGCAAAAGCAAGACCTCGATACACCATGGGATCAGCGTCTGCCCTGAAAAGTAAATCGATTGCACGACTGTGCTTAAATTAATTGTTTCGAGTCTAAGGTGATAGATGATGGATGGTCCTTAACTCACTGAAGTTTGAAAAATTTCTTATTTCTTTCTTATAATATTCTTTAACAACCCACCAGTATTTCCATACTGGACCAATAGCACTTTGACGAGTTGAGCATCCTGCTGAGATACCGATTCACATCATACCTAGGGAGTTTTAATTAACAACTATTCAACTCAGTGTAGGCGGCTGGCCTGGTGGATATTTACCCCGCCGCGAGTTGAATAGTTGGTGTAGCATACACTAAAATAGTGAGATAAGATAGCAACGATGACCACATTTATTTATGCGCGTAAATCCCGCGCGTTGCTCTGAGGTGAATAGCAAAGGACATTTGGAGTTTGAGTAACCAGTCAGAATGGCCTTGCAGCGCTGTCCACTGTTTAAGTATCCACGTACAGGTGAATAAGAAAAGATATCATTGACTAAATGATTACTTCATAATTTCATGCAGGTGAAGATTCCTTGTTCTTCACTTTGCTTATGTCCTAATATATGATTACAAGACAAGATTTCATCCAAAGGACTTCTAGGGCTATCTAAGGAGGGAAAAAGTGAGTGGATACTTCCAAGTATACGCAAAACCTACATGTCTTCTTTGCCATCAGATCTCTTTTGCACAGAAGGAAGAGGAGCACTAGAATGATCTGCAAAGGCAAGACCTCGTCGCGCTACAGGTTCAGCAGCCACACTAGAAAGTCAAATTCAATGTTAACATAATTCTGTGTCAAACCAACTGTTTTGATACCTAGAGCAACAAAGCATACAACACAGGAATAAAGGGGATAAGTTCTACAAAAACTGTGGTGCTGCATTAGTGGGTCACCAGATACTGTAATTTGGTTTTATCAACTAAGTTGATAATATAAATTAGGCATTGCAGAGAGTTTCTAAAGCTGAGGATGTGAGTGTTAGCCCTTCATCACAAAAACAATAGTGCTGTATTAGTGGGGAGGGGGGGGTAGAGAGTTTCTAAAGCTGACAATTTGAGCATTAGTCCTTCGTCAGAGCGAAACTACAACACTTCACTACAACATAGTTTTTTCCTTACACAGGCAATCTACTGTAAACAGTAATCTATGTGAAGGAAATAATCACCAACCTAAGAAGCTTTGATTGTTGAACAAATTCTCCTTGTTGGTGCCAAAGGAAATGTATAAAGAACAATATGGAGAATATGCATACTGATGTTATGGGTAACGGGTAGAGCTGCATTTAATAAAATAATCTACATGTTGGAGAAAACTAAACTATGACAATAGATTATTATATTTTTAATGACACAAGTATATAGAGCTGATTTCAAGTCAGCGACCTAAAAATATCAAATCTATCTGTACCTGTTATGAACTGTCATTTTTGAAACTTCAGTTGAAGTGGTTTGCTCAGGAACAGTTGTCATGACATTCCTCTGACAGCTGCCAATCTCCATGGCACACAATTCCTTGTTGCAACTCAATTTGATGTCACTTCCAGGCTGTTTGCCATTGGCTGGCACACTTTTACACTGTACTGTAGAGCTTCTCTTTTGCAAGTTTCTTGCAGCCTCCCTGTTCTCTTGACGAGCAAAATGTCTTCTGGCGAGAATTTCCTCATACTGGAACTCGCCACGGATTAAGTCATAAACCTCCTTTTTTGGATACATGTATCGGACATCTGTGCGAGGTCTCTCAATAACTGGTGCTCTGTAGGTTCCCTCTCTTATCCTGGCCAATATCCTTGCTGCACGAAGCTCTTCAAAAGAAAACTCCTGAGTCCCAGCATAAATTTTTTCCTTGCAGTACATTACCTTTGACTTTTGGCCTTCAGCATTTTCTGGCTATAAAAAAATCAAGACAACAACCAATTAATCACAGTCCTGACTGTAATTGTGAAATGAACAAATGGTTTCAATGTTGCAGTGTGTCTGTTGAGTAATAGTTCATGCATGACATCAAAATGCAATAAGAACAATTAAGTGCCATGCAAGGTGCAGTTGAATGTGTCACTGATGAACTTGTTACCGCATTTTGACACAGCTCCTGTGACTCTTACTGCACAGAACCATGGCAACACAGATTATATTTTTTGTTAATTGCACTGTCATCTATGGTTATGTCCTCCAATGGATCATAAGTGAGAACCAGTCAAAATACAGGTGCAATTCAGATTATCAGACAAACCTCAACATACACCAAACATTACCTTATTCCTGAGTGTATCCATGACAGAAGGTCTATCTGGTTTGCGTGAGCTCAAGACCTTGTCAAACTGTAACACATGCTGAGGAGTCGCAGGTGGATGGCTGTTAACGTCATCATCGACATGGACAGAGAAGACAGGCTTGTGTGGCATGCAGTCAATAGGTACTGATGTACGGTATTTCTGAGAGACCTAAAATGCAGACAACAGATGTTTTGACTTGACTGAATAACTTCAATGTTGTTGAATAACAGGAGGCAGTTTCGCCAAGTGGTTACTAGTCCCTGGGCCTGTAATCGGGCGAGGCAAGTTCAAGGCCTCCTCCCCGCTACTCACTGGCTTTTTTCGTGGTTGTCCCTAGTTCAACTCCTTGGCTGGGCTTTGTATATGGCTTTGTATTGTATATGGCTTTGTATTCACTCCAACAAAGGGCTAACGCTCGAAACATCAGCTTTTATAATCGTAACGGTGACCAATTTACCATTTCAACTTTGTTGATATATTCAAATTAATTCGTTACCCCCACCGACGCAGCCCCAAACAGTTTCTTTAGAAAACTATCAGCCTTTATTCAATTGTATATATTGGCAAACTGGTCTGCCTCCTACCAGTTGGGGTTTTTAACACTATGTATATTCATAATGTTGTATTTCAGACCATCTGGATGTTACCCTTTACCAGTGTTTGCTTTTTCTTTGCAGATGTTTACCACTCAATGATAGCATGAATTTTAAAGTCTGTGAACTATCGCACACTCTACCATTAAAACCTGTTCCCTATCATTAGCTTGTAGGCACCCAAGGAAGGTATTCTTCCAGCAAATCAATAAATCCCACAGATTTTATCTCTGTGCAGTAATAAGCATACAACCTCAATTTTATAATGCACTAGCCCACATAGATCAAGTGTTTAATTAAAAGTTGGTTACTGGCCGTCTTACTACCATCTGTTGAGCCAGCAAGCTGTGTTTGGGCTTCGCCCTACGACCCCTAGCCTGCAGTGCAGGTGGATTTCGGTGGGGCGAGTAGATATTCCTATCGGTTGTTCAGGCTGCCATCTTGAATTAGAAAAATAGTGGAGTTTGGGCGAGGTAAAACGTTTGGGGAGGTAAAACGTTTTACCTCACCACAACTCTCCACTGTTTTTCTAATTCAAGATGGCGGCCTGAACAACCGATAGGAATATCAACTCGCCCCACCGAAATCCGCCTGCACTGCAGGCTATACGGCCCCTTTTCCAAGCACAATCATCAATTACAACTTTGACAGCTGCCTATGAAAAACAAAAATTATTGAAATCTCTGATAGATGTAATTAATACATGTACCTTTGCATCAGTCCATTTCCCAGGCTTCTGAGTGTTTTCCTTTTTGATTACTGGTTCAGTAGGGGGTATCTGCCACTCCCCTGTGGAGGGGGGTAAAGAGCTTTGCATTCCAGGATCATCATCACAAAATATCTTGAAGCCATTACTGGAGGTGTTTGATGCTGTCGCAGTACCTCTGATGCCTGTCTTTTTGGCTGAAAGAACAAGTTAACAAGGAAGAAACAACCTCTGTCAATAAAAAGTTTGACTCTTTGGGGTTTTAACCCTTTACAACATAACATCAGTATGCATATTCTCCATACTGTTCACCATATATTTTTTATCATGCTGACAAGGAGAATTTGTTTAACAATCAATAGTTTCTTTGGTTAGTGACATTTCCTTTATTCTCGTGACCATGGTGAAATCATGAGGAGAAATCAGATGCTACAATTCAGTTACTTTGATAACTCAAAGGGTAAAAAGGGCAAGCCTACCAAAAAATCATGAATGATTTTCCAAAATATGAAGCATATGAATGTCACGCCTTTGACAGATGTTGCACAAGGTAAAATATGAAGCATATGAATGTCACGCCTTTGACAGATGTTGCACAAGGTAAAATATTCAGTGTCCAAATGCCAGGAACCAATTTAATTTCTGTTTAAAATATTGGTTTGCAATGACCAGTATTAAGTGACTTACAAAGAGTAGCATTTCCAGTACGTTTAGTACCAACTGTTCCTTTCTTTCCCTGGCTCTTCAAGCCTCCTAATGCTGTCCTCTGAGGTTCAGACTCCTCTGTTATTGACACTTGCTGCAAACCATTTGAAACCCTTTCGGCCAGCCGTAACTCAAATGCTCTGTAAAAGTGCAACAACAAAGTTTACGCATAAGACTAATTAAGTAAAACAAGGCATGGTTGAGATGGTGGAAAGTATTGGTCACAAAATGCCCAGCTCTCTCTCACATGAAGTATGTGAGTGCGTGTATAGTTCAGCGAATATCTTGATAATGAATTAGGCTTACATGCAAGCATTTAGGGACCTTCTCAAGCAAGGCTGTGGTCTAGCAGTGCCCAGTGGCCCATGGCGCCTTACTTTTGCTCTTGGGTGACTCAGGAATCTTAGTTTTCTCATACAAAGCATATGTTGGGCACCCTGGATTTCACAGTTTCAAAGCACTAGGCTCCATTCAATTTTCCTTAGAGCACAGCCTTGTCAAGTCATAGATGCTTAACCTTTTAACTCCCACGAGTGACTGAGACAGATAACAATAATAATAATAATAGTAATAATATAATATTTATGTTCCACAAATTAACATGTGGATAATAATAATAATAATAATAATAATAATAATAAATGACAATTTATATTGTAGCGCCCTATCCGAAAGCTCTAAGGCCTTCACAATCAAGGTAAAAAGTGAAATAATAATCAAATGTAATCATTCATTAAAATAACGCTTAAAAAGATAAGTTTTAAGGTTACGCTTAAAAGTGTTAAGATCTATGCTACATTTTATGGTTTCAGAAATGTCATTCCACAACTTAGGTGCAGAGACAGAAAAGGCGCGATCGCCATAGGATTTCAACTTGGAGCCAGGAATCACTAACAAGTTCTTACTCGATGATCACAAAGACCTAGTAGGCTTATAAGTTTCTAACAAGTCACTGATATAACTAGGGCATAAATTATTTAAAGCTTTAAAAGTAAAAAATAAGATTTTAAAAATAATCCTCTGCTCCACAGGGAGCCAGTGCAGTTCCCTCAGAAAAGGAGTAACATGATCATCCTTGCGAGCACATAAGATCAGCCGTGCCCCACAATTCTGGGCTAATTGCAATCTATGAACTAAATGTTTTGGAAGACCATACAACAGAGAATTACAGTTGTCTAATCTGCATGTAACGAAGGGGTGTACTGATGCCTTAGTACTACTAACTGACTAAAACTTTCTAATCTGAGAAATATTCCGGATGTGACAAAATTCCGGATGTGAAATATTCCAGATGTGAAAAAATGCATTTCATCAAATGCACAACACAACACTCTTCAGGGGACTTTGGCCAGACTGCATCAGCAGTTTAAAAACAATCGAAGGAAACTTACTGTATTTGAAGATGCCCCCTCCCCCCCAATTCCAGTAAACAGGCCAGACCACATCACAGTAATCTCAAGAGTGGGTTCTTTAACGTCCCCTGCTTAACCAAATTAACCAATTAATAGATGCAGGACGGGACCTACGGTTTATTCGTCCTTATCCGAGAAGACTAGAATGTCTATCCATTCGTTGATATCGTAGAAAGGTAGTGCATTCTCCTCAGTTATTTCAAGATCTTGAGTGTTGGTCCGGCTGGGGCTCGAACCATCAACCTCGAC